GGGGGGGGAAAGGAAGGGGGGGGGGGGGGGGGGGGGGGGGTGGGGGGCTCGGGGATGGAAGGGATGAACTGGAAGGTCGATCTGAAAGGGAAAATGGAATGACGGGAGGGTTGGATGGCTCGCAGGAAGCGACGTAGAGCGAAACGGAGGATGTGGAGGTCCCGGCGTGTAATAGAGACAGCCGCGGAGGGACTGTCATGCGCGTCTTGTCGCGGAATAACCAATGAGGTACGCGTATCCCGGCTTACCTCATTGATTACCGGGTTCGCGCTCGTTCTAAATTTCGCATTGTGCCCGTCGTCCTCGTCATCGCCGCCGCCGCCGTCACCGTCGTCGTCGTCGTCGTCGTCGTACTCGTCGTCGTCGGGCGAAATATGAATCGGTCGCGATCCGCGGCCACCGACCATGGGGGCACCCCGTCGCGGAAGATTGATGGGAGGAAATGGAACGGCCCCGGCTGCCAGGACAATAATCTCCCGCTCCTGCTTCCGCGCTGCATTAACAATAGGCTCCTGGGGCAGGTGTATTGAAAAGCCGGGCGAATCTCCTGGGGGCAGGGGCTGCGGATAGGGAGAACGCGTATCGCCGAACCTACGAGCATACCGGGTGTCCCGCGGAACCGAACTCGCCCGGCGATCCGGCGATCCTCTACGGGACACGTGCTGTCGATCGTGGGACATCGCCGCTGTCCGTACAGCTGTAATAACAACAATTAAGTAGCTTCCGCGTAAGTGGCGGCTCAACGTTGTCGACCGGAGGGGGAACGTATTTAGACAGGGAAGATGGATACCGGCTCGTAGGTGGAGAGACGCCTCTTGTTGGCGCTCGAAATGGCGCTCCGGGATTCTTAGTACAGGAACGTCGTTTCAAATATCGCGGAAAAACAGAGGTACCGTGGGCCACCTCGACCTTCCTTGGCCAATAAAAAAGAAATGTCTCGAAATGCTCCGGGTGGGCGTGGCCTCGTTGCTCCCGATCGTGGGCGGAGCCGCGACCGTCCACCTTGGGCTAATTTAACACTTATGCTCGTTCCGCGGCAACGCTTCGCGACTAACAACGCCGAAGAGATGAACAAACGACTGTCCACGGTACGTTTTCCTCGTGGCCGAAGCGGGCGGGCGTGGCTTTCCGTGGTTCCGGAGCTGCGACGTTGCCCCACGGGCAATCTACGGTTTGTTCTGTCCGGAGTTATGCTTCATGGAAACGAAAAGAGACTGTCGAGCCGTCGTCTGCCTATCTACGATCGCGGCAATTAAGATAAGAAAAAGGTCTTCGAAGCGGATATCCTTGCGCCCCTATTTACCTTGACCAATCCCTACAGCGGCTCCGAAGCGAGCTAACCCCTAACCCCCCCGGAGTCGGAAGCAACGTTGCACGGGTCTGCGAGCGCTAATAGAAGATCGACGGGGGCCAGGAGCAGGGGCGGGCCGAGGAATAATTATTTCTGCAATAAGTAGTATCCACCGTTGTCTCGATGCCGGCTGGAGGGGTGGTTCCGTGGAAGGGCGAGAGGGCGGAGATCGGAAATTAGGTCATGCAAGAATATCGACGGACCGACGTAATCACGGTGCACGACGCGGCTAAGGTCATCAGGCGAGTCACGCTTTTTTCCCAGGGGAGTCCTCGTCGCCGAGTCGGCCGTCGCGTCGGTCGACAAGCAACCCGAAAGCTAAGTCGGAGAGATTGGTCGCGGTAATGGTCGGACAATCGACCGAGATACGCACGCTCCTCCTGGACGTGTCCGGTTGGCCAGGAAGGTGGAAGGTTCGCCGGGCCTTGCTCCGAACTGTGTTGAATCTTAGCCCGAAGTGAGAAAATGGACGACGAACGCGGCGCGTCGCCGAGTTCAGGAATCGGTTGATAACTGATAACGATCAGGACTCGGACATCT